AATGTGAGTGCCATGTATACTTAATAGAAAAAAAGAGACAAGAGAAAAAAGTTATAAAAGACAGGACCATGAAGAAGAGGTGAAGAAAGGACGCTCCCCACAGTGTTAGCAATTTGCTCAGACTTTTCTCTAGTGTGGTAGATGAGCAAAATGTATTATCATTTTTATGAGAAAATTTGCCTTTGTGGGGCTGGGAGGTGTGGAATTTGTTTTTTATTTGTTTTGTTTAAACACGACTGTTTCCTGTAGCTATATAAAAGGCGTGGCATATTCTCAGTTTCAGAATAAGAATTTCAGCTCTAAGCCAGTTCAGTGAAAAAAATGGTTGTAATTTTGCAGAATAAAAACACACTGCTTCACTTAGAAAAGACAAACTCTAAGCAAATAAGTAATTAAGCAAGAAAGGAAAACACCTGTAAGGGATACTGTAGCTGGAGTTTTCTCCAGTCCTGCCTGGCCCATGGTCAGGACAAATCTCTCTCACCCACCAGTCCCACAGCCACTCAGACCCAACTAAGTAAACACACAGAGATTTATATTGCCTACAAAATGTATGGCCGTGGCAGGCTTTTTGTTATCTAGTTCTTCTATCTTAAATTAACCCATTTCTATAAATCTATACCTTGCCACATGGCTTGTGGCTTACCAATATCTTACATTTTGGTACTCATGGAGGCGGCTGGCAGTGTCTCCTGACTCAGCTTTCCTGTTCCCAGAATTCTCTTCTCTGCTTGTCTAGCCTATACTTCCTGCCTGGCTACTGGCCAATCAGCATTTTATTTATACAGAGTGATATACACAGCAGGATACAGTAATGGATCTGAAAACCAGGTGGTTCTTGTGAACCTCAGAACCAGTGCACGTTAGCTTTAACCCATCAGCCTCAGGGAAAGATGTAAGGCTTCAAAATGCTTTGAAGAAAACCACAAACCCAGTTCACTACAGAAAGTCAGGAATTCTGCCACAACCTTCTTCCTGTGGAGTTAGAACTGCAGAAACTGCCTGTGGTAGTTTGAAAGAAAATGGCCCCCAAAGGGAGTGGCACTATTAGGAAGTATGGCTTTGTTGACGTAGGCATGGCCTTATTGGAGGAATTGTGTCATAGTAGGGGTGGGCTTGGAGGTCTCTTTTGCTCAAGCTTCACTCAGTATGAACCTCAGTCTACTTCCTGTTGCCTGCATATGAACATATCAACATATAGCACTCTGTCTGCCTGAACACTGCCATGCTCCTCACCATGATGATAATGGACTAAACCTCTGAACTGTAAGCCCCTTCCTCAATTAAATGTTTTTCTATATAGGAGCTGCTGGGATCATAGCGTCTCTTCACAGCAATAGAAACACTAACTAAGACAGTGCCCCTTCCCCAGACATACGTTATCTGTGCAAAACAGGAGCACATGTGAAATGATGACATGTGATAGAAAGGAGAGGGAGTTCCTATTAAGAAACATACATTTCACTGGGCTGTGTTGGCACGTCTTTAATCTCAGCACTCAGAAGGCAGAGGCTGGTGGATCTCTGTGTTTGAGTCCAGCCTGGTCTACAGAGCAAGTCCAGGACAGCCAGGGATACACAGAGAAGCCCTGTCTGGAAAAACCAAAAAAAGAAAACAGGAAAGAAGGAAGGAAGGAAGGAAGGAAGGAAGGAAGGAAGGAAGGAAGGAAGGAAGGAAGGAAGGAAAGAAAGAAAGAAAAAGTTTTTTGAAGAAGGATGAAATGTGTCTTTCCTTCTTTCTTTCTTTCTTTCTTTCTTTCTTTCTTTCTTTCTTTCTTTCTTTCTTTCTTTCTTTCTTTCTTTCTTTCTTTCTTTCTTCTTTCCTTTCTCTCTATCTTCTTTTCATCCTTCTTCAGAAAACTAACTTTAGCAGAAACAAGTGCTACAGGCTAGAACATTCTCATTCAAAGAGACAAGCAGCCACACACATAAAGAGCCCATAAAATAATCATCAAGGAATAAATTGTTACTGCAAATAAGAATGGACAAAAGCAGGACATTCATACTATAAACTTACAAAGTGACTGGAAATAATCAAAGAAGGGAAATAAATAATTAGATTAAAAAATAGTTTTTGATAAATAGAATTTCTAGATTAAAAAAAATCCTTAAATGTCTTAAATGTGAATGAGATATTAGTAGGCTTCAACAACTGGACTGAAGATGTGAGCACATTAAGAGGATACTGTTATTGTTGAGGGAAGGATACTGGGACTATGAGAAAGAAGTGAAAACTGAAGGAGTGAAGTCAAGGTCCTTCCACATCCTAGTAAAATTTGCAGAAGCAGAGAACTGTGACAATGGTGAAGAGGCAACAGTTGAAAATGATTGATTTAATATTCCCTGGAATTAAAAAGGTGAGTGCTTCTGCTAAAGTTTTCTACTAAAAATCAATATCACTAAAAGCAAATCTCCACTCTGGCACACTGCAGTACAGGGGCTAAGAATCACAGGCAAAACCAAACTGCAAATTGCTCTCAAAGAAACAGGATGTGATGTTTTTCTTAGTGTTGGTAAATATCAGACTACGCTATAAAAACTATGAGGAAAAACAAAGAAAAATTCAAGCATAAAAGACCGGGTTTACTTTACACAAAGGTTGACTGAAAACTCCCTTAAAAGACATTTGGGCAATAAAGTAAATGAGAGAAAAAGAATGTAAAGAAGTAGATAAAAAATAATTGTACAAAAGGAAATTGATAGGAACTGCATGATGTTTTGTTGTGAAGTTGCTGACATGAGTCAAGAAGAAATGTATTGACAACTTTAATGAAAACATTTAAGAAGTGTTTATTAAGTGGTGGATTTCCAAAGCATAAATGGTGGGAGGGGCATGGTAATTTCACATCAGAAAAGAAACTGTAGGATATGAGGGAAAGCGACACATTTTTCTGTCTGCAGATAAAGGGAGACAGTACAAACAAAATAGAAATACGGCAAAGTCGAAGTCAGAAAACAAACTTATAGAAACAAATTCTCAGTGTCAATCACAATAAATAAAACAATGACTCTGACTATTAAATAAAATATATAAGGAATAGGTCACAGAGCTGGATGCATAACTAAGGGGTATTGAACATGGGAGGAGTTGTGGGAGATGGAGTAAATATGATTAAAATTGAAAAACAATTATCGAAGAACTTACAAAAGTTTTAAAAAAGAGAAAATGAAACACTTAGAAAAATGCCCCAGCTTATACAGGGGGATACACCATGAAGCCCCAACTCTACACAAAGAACTATGAGGCAATTAAGGAACGCTGAAGGAGGGAGAAATGGCCTCCCAAGGGGAAAGCACACCAACTGATTATCCAATACAGATGATCAGCCACGAAAACATGCATACAGGTCATAGTATAGAGACTGAGCATGTTATAATTATTTTTTCAGGAATATATATATATATATGCATATATATATATGCATATATATATACATGTGTGTGTGTGTGTGTGTGTGTGTGTGTGTGTGTAACAACAATTAATGAAAAAAGAGGTCACAAATTTGAAAAAGAGCAAGGAAGGTATATGAGAAGATTTAGAGCAGTTGTTTTCAACCTGTGGGTTGTGACCATTTTGGGGTCGAACAATCCTTTCACAGTTTCTAAGACCATTAGAAAACACAGATATTTACATTACAATTTATAACAGTAGCAAAATTACAGTTATGAAATTGCAACAAAAATAATTTTATGATTGGGGATCACCACAACATGAGGACCTATATTAAAGGGTCACAGCAGTACAAAGGTGGAGAACCACTGGTTTAAAGAAAAGAAATTGAAGATAGAAATTATATAATTATATTATAATCTAAAAAAGGAAAATACGTAACTTTATAAAAAAATCACCTCCTTGGAACAGTTCTCACTATGTTCTAAGATATCTTCTTCTAGCTTGCTATACCCCTTTATCTGTAATATTTCCTAATCCAACAGTTCAAGAAATATTTGCTTTCTGTGTCAATATGGATGTTGAGAAACAGTTTTCGTTATTCTTAAAGAAATTGAAGGTTTTAAATTCTCCAAATTCTAAATAAATAAATCCAGAAGTAACATCATCACTGGACAGAGGCAGTATGGGAAGTTCATGCATATTAATGGTCTGGTTGCATATATATTGCTATAGTTTGATGTTATTTCTTCTACTCTCAACAGAAATTTACTTTGTAGTCACCTATGCAAAGTAAAGCTCATTCAGAGTATTCAGAACTGTCAACAGACATTTACTCTGTAGTCACTTGTGAAAGTGAATCTCATTCAGAATAAACATGACTATGGCAATGGTGTCTTTAAGGCTCCAACAACATATTCATATCCACTTGGCTAAGACAGACACTCCATTATAGGATGTTATATAAACATCAGCAAACATGTTTGTTTAGTATATTAGAATATGGTCCATGTATTTGGTAATGTATACTGGTGGTTGAGTTAATAAATAATCTGGGAAATGTTCTTCTTACTGCAGTGCCTTGCCATAGCAAATTTTAGTAGTAGTAATTACATATTACTATTCAGCATCAAATGTTGTGTCATTGATGATGACGTTATTCAATAGGATTATGATATATTTTAAAATTTTGAGCTGACAAATTTAGTAGTCTATTTAAGAGGTGAGATAGAATATTTTATAGTTTCTTTAGCTGAATTTTTTTTAAATTTTGAAGATTATAATGTAGTTACAATATTTCTCCCTTCCCTTTTCTCCCTTCAAACCCTCCCATATACTCCTTCTTGCTCACTTTCAACTTCATGGCCTCTTTTTCTCTTTAATCACTGTTACATAATATATGTGTATATGAGTACATGTACTACTAAATATAACCTGCTCAGAATGCATAATGTTAATCATATGTATGATTTCAGGGCTGACCATTTGACGTGGGATAGCCAGTTAGTGGGCTCTTCATTGAAGAAGACTCTTTCTCCCACTCTCAGCATTCCGTAGTGTCTTGTAGATCTTTGTATAGAGTCAAGCCTCATGGGCTTTTTGTTTTACAGTACCACCTATCAAGTGAAGCAAATGCTATGAAAGACTTCTCCCTTGGAGTCATGAGAATTTAGGTGATTATCTTTTTCTCTTGAATACATTGTTTTAAATATGTTTCTCAAAATATGTTGGTTGTCTACATTGCTCTCTTAGAATAAATTATTACAATATATATGCACACACACTCCCACAAGGGCAAACACACACACAAATGTGTGTGTGTGTGTGTGTGTGTGTGTGTGTGTGTGTGTGAGTGTGTGTGTATCTGTCTTTGCATGACAGATCAGACAGAGAAAGACAAATCTAGTAATATAAAATCACATCCGGTAATATAAACCAACATAATGGTTAGAAGTAGTGGGGATACAGAGGAAAAGTTTGTGAATACAAAGAGCTCATGACTGGAAGAAAATGGAATTTCTATGTCAGTAGGAAAATTGGCCCAATCATGCTAAGGTACTTAGGGTTGATGCAGTCCTACTAATGTCTAGGGCAGACAGAAGATCATGGTAAATAAAATAGTTTAAAATCCTGTTCTAGTAACTTGATAGGTTAGAGATCTTCATGACAAAAGCCAACGTATATTTGAACAATAAGCAACTATGAACAGGTACATCATGATCACCAGGAACAGAAAAATGCAACCACACTTACAGTTTTCTTTATTGCAAACTAAACTGCAGACCAAGGAGAAACTGAATTTGCACATGATACTGTGATTTACAGAGGCTAAGGCTGAGTTTCTACAGAAGTACAGCACTCTCCTCCTAAAAGACTAAAGTTTATCATAATACATGTATCGATCAATGTGATGCCTTCATCCATTACTTCATTCATTTTTCATTTATCTAGCCATAGACTCCTTTGGAGAATAAATGGTGTGGCTTGAAAAGATTAGGGGCAATCAGCAAGGATTGATTATATCACCTATTTTTCACAGTTAGAGTACACCATGTGCTGGGCATTCGAGCTGGGAAAGATAAGCTTTGTTCTCTTCCTTCCCCACAGATCGAAGACTGGCGAATACACAAACAGTTGAAGGAATGAGGTGAGACCTGCTCCGATAACAGGCCTACACAGTGCAGAAGTCTAGTGGGATAAGAGACATGTATTTTTATGGACTCAAGAAAAGTCTTCCAAAAGATGATAGGTCATCCATTTAGAGTAAGGCAACAGAGTGAAGGCAAAGAAATATAAAATATACCTGTTGCAGCTGAGGAATCCTGTAAAAATAAAATCCAGGCAACAGAAAAATAAGTTTAACAAAATAACCAAATCAATGCAGTTGTATAATTTTAGTATGTATTATGTAAATGTTTTGGTCATTATTAAAAGTCCCAATTTACTATGTGTTTTACTTCTTATAATATAATGATGATTTTTTCACTAGAAATATTGCTATCTTCAGAGGAGATGGATAAATAATAACTCCATACAGGGTAAGAAAATTTCTTTTTAAATAATTAGGACTCATTTAAGCATTTTTTCTCCTGAATACTGATTATTTTTCAAATGCAAGAAAGTATAGAACAAACTAGTAATTTTTTCTTTCTCTGTGCCTGTCACAAGGATGACAGAAAATTATTGTGAAGATTCTTTTTTTTTTTTTTTTTTGGTTTTTTTCGAGACAGGGTTTCTCTGTGTAGCTTTGCGCCTTTCCTGGAACTCGCTTTGGAGACCAGGCTGGCCTCGAACTCACAGAGATCCGCCTGGCTCTGCCTCCCGAGTGCTGGGATTAAAGGCGTGCGCCACCTCCGCCCGGCAGATTCTTAATTAAAGGCAACTTAGGTAAGTATAATTTTGCAAACATTGTCATTAATTTTATGTATAATCGCACCTAGCCCAAGACACCTACCATGTACTCTCTCTCATTCTCTCTCTCTCCCTCTCTCTCTCTCTCTCTCTCTCTCTCTCTCTGAGAACTGAAAACCTGAAATGTGATGTTATCCTTGATCATAGGAGAAAGGGGGAATAAATAAAAGGAAATTTTGTCATTGCCAGTCCTCAGATTGACCTTGAGTTTTTGGACTCACCACGTCCAACATCATAATAACCACAGGTGAAGCAAAGAGGGGGAAAGGCAATGGTAATTCTCATCGTGTATTTCATGGAGATGAAAGTACAGTTAATGAGAAAATGTTAGTAAAACATTTTAAGGCCTTTGTAGGAAGACACTATATAAATACCAGGCACTATTATTAGTCATTTTAATGGCTTGGAGATGGAGTTTTACTGCTTGAGAGAGATACCTCCTTGAGTTATGCTGACTGTACATTGCTATATTTCCTTTGCTTTATAGCTAAACACCAGTGTGCACCAGTGTGTTAAGCTTCCTTCTATTATTTCCGAAGATTAGGGATGCAGCCATCTCCACCAACAACTCTGCACTCACAGTTCCAGAGGGAGAGTTTGATATTAAAGGGCTTTTCAATTCCATGGCTACGGGTGATGTGTTGAGATGTTTTATTTATTATTGCTATGCACAAAAGATAATCCCTATAAAAAGAAAAT